GGCTTCAGGCAGTACTCACAGGCTTTGGTCCTCAAGCCGGGCGTGTGGCAGGGTGCTGTACGATGACGGTGAGGTTGTTTCCCTGAGTTCCCTGACGGGTCCTCGCGTTCAGGTCTTTGTAGTGCAGGCAGCAGGAAGTGGGCTGAAGGCACAAGAGCCTCCGCTCACCAGAGGACCACATGGAGGCCCAGAACCGTCACCCCGCCACCCCGTGGCCGGTCAGAGCAGAGCTGGGCTCAGCCTGGTCTCCAGCCGCGTCTCGCTGTGGCCACCCAGCACCACCGTCCAACTGCAAAGTCCGCGGCTCTCCCGGGGAGACAGGCACGAGACACATTCTGCATTCTCCCCTCACTCTCGCCCTCTCTCGCGGTTTTTCTCTTCCCGTGTGTGTTCTGAAGGCCTTCGAGGCGGGCCCGAGCTGGTGGGAGAAGAGGTTTTTCCCAGGAACGGATCGATGCTCTGTGTGCGGGCAGCCGCGCTGACAGGCCTGACCTTTACCGGGTTCGCTCTGGTTCTGCGTTCCCTGCCGGGAGCCTGGAAGGCCTCGCCGTGGAGACAGGGAGGTTGGGGAGCCTTGACCTCCAAGGGGCCGGGCTCGGGCTGGGTGCAGTGCAGACAGAACAGGGAAGAATCTTAGCGCTGAAGGCACTTTGAGGTCAATTATTTAAATCTATCCCATATACACCACTTTTACAGATGGGAAAACTGAGGCTCAGTGAGAAGGGACTTGATCAAGGTCACTCAGAGAGCTTTCACAGATCCCCAGAGTCCAGCGTGTGTGTGTGTGTGTGTGTGTGTGTGTGTGTGTGTGTGTGTGGTGTGTACGAATTTCCATATACAGGGTGGGGCAAAAGTAGATTTACAGTTGTATGTGAAACAGTTGATTCTTGTATCATTATTTATTAATTCTGGTGTTATTCTCCATCTGAACAACTGTAAACCTACTTTTGCCCTGCCCTGTATACATGAGTATATAAGTATATGCACGTGTGATACAAATTATTATATATACACATAATGTAGTAGCATATATACACTATTATACATAATATATATGCAACATTCATATTTGAAAGGCGGGCTCTGCCGGCATGGGCACGGTGTCTCTGCAGCCATAGATGGCAGCGCACTGGATACCCACGGACCCCGAGCCACAGCACATCACACAGTTCCACAAAGCCACGGGAGGAGCTGGAGAGATCTCATGGTCCTTTTCAAATCTTTTCTTCCTCCTCCTCCTCCTCCTTCTTCTTTGCAAACAGTTTCTCTCAAAGCCCAGTTTCCACCCTTCAGAAAGAGGACTTGGCTGTGAAGTCACTTTGAAAGACTTTCCGTATGTTAATTACAGCCGGGGAAGGTCTCGCGCAGAGGTGGGCGCCCACCATCTGCAGACGGGGTCGGCCCCCAGCGTGCTCTGCAAATCCCCGTCATCTGGCAGGTGTCGTTTTGGGTTAATTAAGAGCTACGCTGTGCCGGGTTACCTGTCGCTTCGGAGGGCTTTAGGAATCTTCGGCTTTCTGCCATCTCTGAGCCCTTAGTGAAGGGGAAACCGGGAACGTCTCTGACTCTGATGACTTTCCTGCCCCGTGTCCTCCAGGACAGCTACCTCAAGGGCCTCCTTCGTGGCCCCCTATCAGCTTTCATTGAATCAGTCCTTTCTAGTTACTTCGCTGAGTTTTTATGTGTTTTTATTGATTTTTGAGAAAGAGGAAAGGAGAGAGAGAGAGAGAGAGAGAGAGAGAGAGATCATTGCATCCGTCTCCCCCCCGCCCCCCGCCCCCAAGCCTGGGCATGTGCCTGGACTGGGAATTGAAACAGTGACCTTTTGGTGCAGGGTCGACACTCAAGCAACTGAGCAGCACCAGCCAGGGCATGGCTTTTACAACCAGCTCGTCTCTGTTTGGAGCCATTTTCTGTCGTCTCCTGCAGGGTAGGCAGCTGTGGGCAGGAGTGGGGGACAGAGCACACCTGTGGGTGTGATCCTGGCCATGGGCCTGTGAGGGAACCAACCCTCTGTTCTTGGTCCTATGGAGGCAGCTGAAGACGGGGGTCAGTCCCAAGTGGCCTGGGGTTCCATCCTGTACCATCCGCCTAGTCCCAGCTCCTGATTTTACTCATGCAGTGCCCTTCCGACCCCCCCCTTACCCTCACTCAGTGCCCCTCCGACCTACCCCCCCCCACCCTC